GGTGATTATGTATATAAGTCATAACAGATTCTATTATTTAATTTATTATAATATTAGTTTAATTAAATAATAGATATTGTCATAAATACGCATCGATTATATATATTAAAAGTGTTTATATCCAAAATTGATTGGATTTAGGGCATAACACTTACACTTTCCTGGTACAAGAAATTGAGAACCATACTACATTCAAAATGTTGCTGAAGATAGAAGAAACTGCAGTAGGTAAACTCAAATGTGATCTTAAGAAAAAATCATAATTCTAACACAAAATAAACCAAAACAGAATCATGCATTCCATTTTTTTCAATCAAAAAATCTGTTGTTTGGAATTTTGCATTTTACAAGTTACATACCATTTGAGAATCCACGATGTATGGTCAAAGGTTCAATAGCAATCTTGAATAGAAGAATGTGGACCTTATCCATTGAAAAATACAAAAATCCTCCGGGAGAATGGGTAACATATGAACCGAAGCTAGTTCCCACAATGCAATGCCAAGCTGGACCATAAGTTGAGTCGAACTCCTGGAAAGGTAAATAGAAGTTTGTCGTAAGCAGTTGATTCATCGTAACTCGAGCACAAAAGCATGTTCCCCAAAACTAGGGAGAAAAGGCACCGATGTAAAACAAAGAGACAACAACGAGGAATAGAAATTTGTAGCTGATACCTTATTAAGCCATCATTTGTAAATTCTTTCCAAACAGACTAATATTTTTTGCTTTAAGTTGAGTGTAGGATTTAGGAACGATTACATTAGAAGAACATACCATATTTGACATCAACTGCATTTTGACAAGGAATACTACTCATATGGACTTACATCCTTTTTGTTTACAGTAAGTCACAATTTTCTAAAGTTTACTATTGACCCGAAAAAACGCAATGCAAATGTGGAAAACAGATGCTGGGCCTACTTACGCCAATTCAAGCAAGTTCCTGCGCGTTTTGACCGGAGTATCGATGAAAGAGGGATAACACGTAAACATGGAAAATACTTTATAGCGCATGACAAAATTATTCGAGCATCGGCATTGGTGACTAGGATGATTGCGCTAAAAAGCAATCATCAACAAAGTGTAAATAACTTAAAATCAAACTAACAAATATAGAACAAGCCGAAAGTTTTCTTGAGAGTTCCTCTTGAGTGTTTTCTCGTGTGTTCAAATTGATATTCAAAGGGCTATCAAAGATCCAAGAAAAAAGTCCCAAAAATCCCCCTCTCCATTTTCAAAGATCACCTATTTATAGTGTTTTGACCGACGTGATGTCTGTTGGATCAGAACCACGTGGCCTCATTTCGTAGACTGAAGCTTTATATTACTAAGTCTACCATACAATAAAACATTGACAATGGATCAACCTCCCTATACATTAGAGTGTCATATCTGACATTCTTTAGTACAAACGTTACATCAATCATTCCTAAAGATTGTTTACAGATCTTATAAGAGACAACTTCAACTTCAGGGACTTCGGATGAACTAAGGGTTTCTGCCGGAGGGAGCTTCGTATTGGTGGTCTTCAGCATGAAGAGTTTTGGCTGCTTCATTGATTTCTTATGTAGCACTTTGGGTAGTACTTCAGCACATGAGATTCAGTCTTTGTTTAACTTCTTTGCATTTGACCAATTGAGTCTTTATTGGCTTTCCTTTCCTACGTGGACTGTGACATGGCACTTTGACTGGAGCCTCGGGGCGAGGCATAACACATACCATGGTAGACCGACAAAATATCGCCCTTAAGGAGTCAACTTGACCACCACGAAAGGCACACACACAAAACCCAACTTAATTGTTTACAATATAATTGAGATGTTCAAGCAAAATTAGAATAATGTTATTCATCATGAGTAGAGATCATCGTTGATCTAGGTAGCAATAAGCCCCTTCATTCATCGTCCAATGCATTAAAATGCACCACTGTCGAGAGATATGCAAACAAATAAACACACAATAGAATAATTCTTCTCCCAAAAATAAATAAGTAAAACGACTTTCTTGACAATTCTATATGCTGAAAATATTCTTAAAAAATCAATTACACCAAACCACAAGAACACATACAATTATTTTACGTGGAAAAACTTCCTCGACTTGAGGAATAAAAATCATGGGACCCATTCCAGTTAAAACTTCCACTATCAATCAAAAAATGGGTACACAAAATATTCTCTAATCATAACTAAAGGCTACAACTTATATTTATTGAAGATAAAAAGTTCTTGGCAAAACATTATGAAATATGAAAAATATACCAACACATTCGGTTACTGTTAACGTACATTAACTAATGTTCCTGAATTCAAAATCCGATCTCCACCAATCAAATTGTAGTTCTATGTCTTATGAACCTATCCTCCAAATTTCAACTGGATCGGACCACAAATGAGTCAAGATCAGAGCTTTGATGAAATCTTGGCACATGAAAAAAACTGTTTTCCCTTCTTCTCAGGTTGGACTCCTATTTTCTCTAATTTTCTTGTATACATATTCATCATTAGGGTTAACAACCTAATGAGCTTCGGGCTACTATATAAAATCCCAAATA